CAGCTGATAAGGAGGAGAGGCTGTGGCTTAATGGCTAAGATGTCTGCCTACGATGTAATATAGCACAAGCTCGAATCCCAGTAAGGGTATGGCTAGCTGATGAGAACGAAATAGCTAGAAATAGATCTATACTAGTCTCCCTTTATTTATTTATCAGCAAAAATACAACATATATATATGTGTGTGTGTGTGTGTGTGTGTGTGTGTGTGTGTGTGTGTGTGTGTGTGTGTGTATATGTATATGTGTATATGTATATATTTCCTGTCTAGGCAGGGGGTTGGACTAGAAGACCTCCAAGGTCCCTTCCAACTCTGTTATTCTATTCTGTTCTATTCTATTTTATTCTATTCTATATAGACTTGAATATAAATATCAATGAACAAAAACTAAGACATATTCATTTAAAAAGTGGTGATAGAACTATAGGGTAGTGTTTGCCTGGGTGATTTTCTCCCTATTCGGTGAATATGTGAAGGGTATATGAGAATGATCACACAAACTCTGCTCTCACACTTTCAAAATTCTCATAATCTTCAGTACCTATATATCAGGTATATAAAACTACTGGGGAACTTTCCTCGTACTCGTAGTAGTTCAATTAATAGCCTTAAATTTTCCAGGACTATAATGGTACAGAAGGATATTAAATGTAGCTAATTATTCCTCAATGTGAGAAGGGTAATTTATTTATTTATTTTGATTTGTATTGTCTGTATTATTTTTACCCTGACTCAAGGTGGCAAACATATCCAACACACTTTTGTCTCCTATTTTCTCCACAGCAGCAATCCTGTGAGGTAAGTTGGTGTCAGAGTGATGGGCCCAAAGTCAACCAATTGGCTTTCATGGTTGGGATGGGGGTTAAAGTTAATGGTCTCCAGCTTTCTAGACTGCACAATTTCTTTGTTTTCCAAATGGCTGCCCATTCAAATAAATAGACACTCTTAATAGAAATAATAAGGAAAATAAATTTAAAAATGTTACCTAGTAGGAATCCTGAAGTCTGCTTTGGTGCCTAATTTGTAAGCAACTTGTAAAGATGTGGATCCCACCACATGTTGGATAATGCCTGTGGAAGCAGCTTTATCAAGCTGGAACTGCGAAATTAAGTCATAACCTAAAGTAAGGAATACAAATATTTGAGAAAAAAAAATAAACCCCAAAACGATGTAGTGAGATCTTTTTACCCTGCTATTTTTTCTTTCGATGTGTGTTTTCTGATTGATTCAACTTTGCTGCTGTTCAAATTTCGATTTAAGGCAGTTAAGTTTCTTAATAGTTCACATTAGAAATATAAAGGTGTATCGCCTTGAAAATAATAAATGATTCTATAATTAAATAATGTATAAAGCAGCTTCTTTCAGCCGCATTCACTTTATGGAACAAAAATAAACAGCCCTTAAAAAAGTTGCTCCATATCAGTTCATATGAAGGAAGGTATGTATAATAACTTGCGTTTACTTGCCTGGTAGATCATCCTGGCCAATCTTGGTTCGTGGGCACAGATCCATCCTCATGTTAGAATTAAATGTTGTTGGAAACCCTGCAAGAAGATTAGACATGCTGCAGTTATCTCTGTCCATTTTCCTGTTGAATGGTCTGTGACCTGGAGCATCTCCTTAGAGGGAGTTCCAGAAAACAAATCCATTTATTTATTTAGGATCATGTATAAAAAACAAGTCCACACTTTGTACAGCTAAAATCAAAAGAAGCTACATTCATGAAGTCAAAATGATGCTACTGGTGATATAAATACATATTGGAGAAAGCCGTGGAGAATCTCAGTTCTTTCCCTGCTATTTCTGTCTTCCCTAAGGTAGGTTTGTACTAGAAATATTTATGTAGTGCAGATTTATTTGTGATTTTAAAAAGTTTCTAAATAGATAGTGGATTGGATTGGATTGGGTTTATTGGATTTATATGCCGCCCTTCTCCCAAGGACTCAGGGCGGCATACAACATTAAAAAGCCACATATTACAAAAGTTTTAAAAAAATTAAATAGCATATCCCAAACAAACCCAATTAGGATTAACATGACATTTTTTAAAAAAAATTCGATTAAAATTAACAAAGATCAATAATTTATTTTGTTTTGTTCAGGCCAGGCTGGCTTGCTGGAAATGCCAACTTTTTA